TCAACCGCCGCATTTAATTTAATTCAATTACCAAACGCCAAAACGTACGCCAAAAGATTGGTCTGTCCAATGATCTTTGGCGACCGCACAGCAGTTTTCTGTTTCGATAATGATTGATAGCCGATCCGATTATTCTTACGCTTCCAGTTTGCCGCGAGTGTAAAAGAAGAAGAAAAACTGTCACCCATTTGCCTGCCGCCACACCAGTTATCTTTCCTTGATCGTTGGTTGCTTTTTGAATTGACATGACTTGGTCATCATCTTCAAACTAAGTATCTATCAATCACGGCAATGGCTGCGGGACTTACTTCATACGTATACCGCCCATCTTAGTTTGCTAAGTTAGCGCTCACGTACATAGATGACCCGACCCGCCCGCAAGGGGAGGCTGGCTGGTCCCCTCGTTATCTCTCATCTACATAGATAGATGGTAGGACGCATTACATTATGCATTTCTATGTGTGCCTCTCCGTCTGCTGGGGAAATCGAGGTCCAGCGTGGGGTTCGACTACCTTGATAAAAAGTTCAGAGTTCGGGAATAACTGTATGTATATAGGACATACAAAACCTGCGTTCAGTATTGACAATAATAATGATTCTATCGTCTCCCTCCCTTCCCTTTCCGTTGGTCCCCTAGCTGAAACCCCCGTAGACGGAGGAGTGTCCCTGTGCCTCTGGAATCGCACAGCAGGGAATAAATAAAATAGGACCAAATGCCCGAAGAAGCCTTCTCTAGTTCAGCGGCATCGGCCACGTCCGTCTCCGGTTCCTCGACCCCTCCCACCGAATCGACGGCTCTGCTAGCAACAACAAAGCCGACTGGTAGTAAACGAGATGGCGAGGAGCTTGCGTTCCGGTACCGACAAGCACTGTCCGAGACTTGGCTGCTGGCCAAGGCAGCGTTACCGGTGATATTGGCATATATACTCCAGAACAGCCTGCAGACCGTCTCTGTGCTGGTCGTCGGCCGGCTCTCCCCCGAAGCCTTGGCCACGGCTGCCTTCTCGTACATGTTCGCCATGGCAACGGCCTGGCTGATTGCGTTGGGAGGGACGACAGCACTGGACACGCTCGCCTCGAGCTCTTTCACCGCATCACAGGACCGGAGAGACCTGGGAATCTTATTGCAGCGAGGAATCTTCGTGCTCACCCTGCTCTACATCCCGGTCACCATCGTATGGGGCTTCTCCGAGCCCATATTCCGGGCGCTGGGCCAGGAAGAGTTCATCTGCGTCCAGAGCTCCAGGTTTCTCCAGGTCCTGATTCCGGGAGGGTTGGGATACATCTGGTTCGAGGCGATGAAGAAGTATCTCCAAGCGCAGGAGATCTGGCGTCCCGGAACCTATGTGCTGCTCATCACCTCCCCGTTGAACGCGCTGCTGAACTGGCTCTTCGTCTACAAGTTCGGAATCGGGCTGTACGGGGCACCAATCGCCACCGGCATCAGCTACTGGGTGTCTTTCCTCCTTCTCGTGGCCTATGCGGCCTTTGTCCGCGGCCACGAGTGTTGGGGAGGGTTGGAGCCTCGGCGCGCCATCGCGCACATCTGGCCGTTCACCCGCATGGCGCTTCTAGGCGTCGTCCACGTCGGCACAGAGTGGTGGGCATTTGAGATCGTGGCCTTGGCCGCTGGCCGACTGGGTACGATACCGCTCGCCGCGCAGTCGGTCATCATGACTGCCGACCAAGTCATCAACACGATCCCCTTTGGCCTCGGTGTTGCCGCCTCAGCCCGCATCGGCAACCTCCTGGGAGCTCAGAAGCCGCGGGATGCGGCCCGTGCAGCACATTGTGCAGCAGTGCTCTCCGTGGTCGTGGGATCCACCATCATGGCGGTCCTCATGGGCACCAAGGATGTCTTCGGCAAGCTCTTCAATGACGACGAGCGCGTGATCAAGCTCGTAGGCGCAGTGATGCCGTTCGTCGCCCTTTTCCAGATTGCGGACGGGCTGAACGGCAGCTGTGGCGGTGTCCTGCGAGGCATGGGAAGGCAATGGGTCGGAGCTCTCGTGAACCTCATCAGCTACTATGGCGGCGCCCTGCCCATGGGCATCTACCTCGCCTTCCACGGGTGGGGCCTTGGAGGCCTCTGGTTTGGCAATTGCGTCGCTCTGTGCATTGTAGGTGCCCTCGAATGGGTGATTGTGGGCCTAAGCAACTGGGAGAAGGAGACCAAGAGAGCTCTCGAGAGACTCCAGGACGGTGGTATTGGGGAGTCTGGAGTTGCCAGGGAAGAATATGAGCCTGTGGATAGCCCATTGTGATATCTCCCTGGGAGGCTGAGATAAACTTTGTCACCCTGGCTTGTTTCACAATACAGGGACCTTTGTATATGACTGGTTATGGATAACTCGTTGCCCCTTGAACCCTACAAAGAGTTCGAAACTCGCGCGCGGGTAACGAATGGTACAGAGATGTTTGAATCAAAATGTAGTACATCAAGTACAGCAGTACAGTACAGCAGTAAAAGGTAGACTAGCTTCTGATTCATAGTTGTCTCAGTGGATTTGGGTTCACCGGATCTTCACGGACTGTCGGTTGCTAGGCAGCTAGCGGAGCCCCCATTCACCAATGAGATGTGCATCGTTGGCAATGGCATGCAGTTAGCGGCTAATACCGAGCGGGAAGGCCCACATCGTCATATGCGTCAACATTATAGGGTCCAGCTCTGTCGGGTAGGTACTTGTACATACATGTGCCGGTAGCTTTATCACCGTCATTACCACAAGAGAGGAACATGTTGTAATGATGACCAAAGTAACAGCTTGTTCGATGTCCCGCGTTTGTCAGAAGGAGTACCTGAAACCATATGTTGTACTGCTCAAGAATCAGACGGTGGTAGCTGCCGACGTAGGTACATATTCAATGGTGATTAGAGGCAAGTATGACCTCATAACCCAGAGCAGCTGCCTAAATTACAGAAATGTGATTGGGGAACCTCTAGAACTCGAGCCATCACAAGACAAAGGCAAGCACCGCCAGCCCAGTCTCTGAATAAACTCAAAAAGAAACTCAATGTCTGGATTTGGTCTGGTCAGTTTCATGCAAATACATATCACATCCACTCTTGTCAAATTAAGAAACCCAACTTTTGGCTCTTTTCTGTTCCAGTAGGTAGGTATTTGGCACTTGCTCTACGTATTCGGACAACCGCATTGAGGCGCAAGCATCAGACCCTGGTCATATCTGTTTTCCCATCCCCAGCTTACTGACAATAACTGTACCTCCACGTTCTGATCAACAACGCAAATACTTCCATCTTTTCCCAAAATCTGTCAACCAATGACATATTCCCACACCCTTAGCATTGGCGTCTACCTCTGCTTGCTTCGCTTTCGCATTTGATCGAGCCGAGCTACAGAAGCCAAACAATCAAAACTCCGCAAGACGTACACTTGGCACTCGCCATATTCAACTGACATCGACATATCCGCCCAAGCCAAGCACCACCCCCCACTAGAACCGTGCGACAACTACTTTACTCGTAGAGAAAGAGAGAGACGGCGAATAATCCCATCAATATCATGGCTATCCTTCATCCAGCGCTGCGCCTGTTGCAGCTGCTTCTGACCCTGATCAGCACCGCTCTGATCGGGAACGTCCGGGCCAGCACCCTTGGCAGCGCATCCGGCACGGCCACGGCCGCCATCAACTTCGCCATCTTCGTCCTCGCCCTCTCGTGGATCACGCTGCTGTACGGCCTCGTCGTGCAGTTCGTGTCCGCGCTGGCCATCCCCATCGTCTCGCTGGCCCTGGATGCGCTGGCCACGCTCTTCACCTTCATCGGCGCGGTCGTCTTGTCGGCCAAGCTGACGGCCGTCAACTGCGGCCACTACGTGAGTACCTACTTAGTTTACCTACCTACCTACCCCCCTTTTCTCCCTTTTCCGCCTTTTCTCTAACAGCTTTGCAAATAAAAAAGGGCGCGAAACCTACCGACTGGATCGCCTTCGGGTCGGCCGACACGGAGAAGCGCTGTCGCGAGATCCAGGCCGGCCTCGTCTTCATGTGGTTCCTGTTCGCCGCCTTCGCCGCCACCCTCTTCTTCGCCTTCCGGGAGTTCCGGCGCGGGGGCGGATCCGTCCGTGGCCCCAACATGTCGCAGATCGGCGTGTAGGGCAGTGACGGTCACGCAGACGACGAGGGCACGGGCAGCGGCAGCGGAAGCATCCCCCCATATGGTGGCGAGTCATCGGGACATTCGCAACAGACCTGGAGCGCCGGCATCGCTGGTGTTTGAGAACCTCCAGATCTCTCTTTCCCGAGTCTCTCTCTCTCTACAATGGACAGGGGGATGGGGGATAGACTAGTAATGTGTGTAGGATAGGGATTATGGTAGTGGACGTGCCCCCCCTCGCTGGCTTATGGTCTTTTCTTCTTCTTTGTAATGGATGTACGAGAGGACAGCATGATTGATATTCACGAAACGAAAGGTAATATATGATAGGGTTTTCTCATGATGCGACAGAGATAGGGGCCGGGTATTGTTAATAGGACCTTCAAGGTCGGATCGATCAATCTGGGCTTGAAACATGAGGCAGGGCTGGGCAGGCTTTCTTTCGTTCCATGCCAAGGAAGGGAAACTGGTTTTCACAAGGGACTTTACTTGTTAATTCGGATCGGCCGATAAATCTCTATATACGCCTTTGCAGTGTAGAAGATGTATTACCTGCATACTCGCAATACGGGGATTGAAGAAGCTTTGGTACGCAATAGCTTGGTTAAACTACTTGGGTGCCGGTTCTCTGAAAGGTCAAATTGTGACGCAACGGCACGTAAAAAGATACCTATAAAAAGTCCAGAACCACCATTGGAAACAAGGGGGTGCAATACTCTAGATAGGTAGCTTTTGTGACCAGACCGCATAACTTCTAATTTGCAGCGCCTCTGGAACATCCTGTCCATGTGAAAAGATGACAGGGAGTGGTGTGTACAAACATGTGGGGCACCCGTCTGTACCTATATCAAGTTACATGTCATAGGATAGAGGCAACAAATGAGTTAGATTGGCCGAGTGGTTAAGGCGGTAGATTTAAGCTGAAGCACGTAGAGTGCATCCTTAAATGCTCTACTGACGAAAGTCTCGCGTGTTCGAACCGCGCATCTAACACATACCTTTCTTTTTTCTTCCCCTTTCCTTTCTTTTCTTTTTTCCTGGTCTTCTCCCTCTTTCCCTTTGTTTTTATTCACTTCCTCATTTGTACTAATCTTATTTTTTTTGGTTCTTCATTTAGCAGCAGGTGTATATAATAGAGAATGCAACGTATTTTTTGTTTGGTGACCTTGGAAAAGTCTGAGTAATGCTGGAGCTTATGTTGCATGACGTATTAAATATTTCTTTCTATGTGTATTTGTATTTATGCGTGCTGTTTATATGATTGATTTCTTCATTTCTTCTTCCTCTTAAATTCCTTGCGAATATTAAACGTCATGACTGATTAACGGATGTATGGGCTAACCTTGACTACCTCTAGCTATGCAAAACCCGTTTTGGCACAGGAGACATCGTTGAAGATTCTCATGCAGCCCTACCTCAATCGCTCTCAACGTACATACCTCTGTGACAGTTTATGTGGTGTGTGACACTCTCTCTTGTCACTGGACTCTTCTTTCTCAACCAGACTTCCTGCTCTCCTTGATCAGATCGGCCGCCCGCTCGGCGACGGCGTACACGGTCGTCTGGATGTTTCCGAGCGGCTCGAGCGGTATCATGCTCGCGTCGACGACCCTGAGGTTCCTGGTCCCGTGCACGACGAGCCTCTCGTCGACGACGCCGCCCAGCTCGCGCGGCAGCATGCGGGCGGTCCCCGCGATGTGGAAGCACGAGACGGTGCGGGCGCGCACAATCTCCTTGGCCGTCTCGAGGTCGTCGCCCGTGGCGTCGGGCAGCCGCTTGAGCGAGGTGTCGATCATGTCGCTGTAGGGCGGCGTGGTCACGATCTTCTCGACGAAGCCGACGGTGCGCGCGAGGATCTCCAGATCGAGCGGGTGCGAGCAGTAGTTGGGGTCCCAGGTCGGCGGCACCGACACGTCCGGGGACGAGATGTGCACCGAGCCCCGAGAGAACGGGTGGTTGAGCAGCGACAGGATGCCGATGCAGTCGTACGGCGCGTGCGACGTGAACATGTCCGTCAGCGTGTCCGGGTGCGTCGTCACCGTGAGCGAGCCTGGAAAGCAGAGGTACTGGATCGCCGGCTCTTCCTCGGCCTCCAGCAGGTCACGGATGAGCTTGTACTCCCGCTTCAGCACCGGGCTGAGGGCTGCGCCCGACGGTGTGGTCTTGCCGAGGTACTTGTCAAAGAGGGCTTTCCGCTCGGCAGAGGTCATGACGCCGTTCCGGTCGGCCAAGGGCACGTAGGCGACGCTCGTGCCCATTCCGGCCAGTGGTCCCTGCTTCGTCGTGGTGTACTGCTCGAATGCGCTCTGGAATCTGGCCGGGTCGCGCAACCTGTCGGCGGACGGGTAGTCCTTCTTGACGGGAAATTGCTGCGACGTCATCAGATGATCCTGCATGTGCTCGCCAACGTTGGGGTTGTCGATCAAGACGTCGATGCCCAGGCTCTCCAGCAGCAAGCGGTCGCCTATTCCAGATAATTCTAGCAGTTGTGGCGTTCTGATGGTGCCCGCGGCGAGGATGACTTCCCTGTTGGCCAGGAGAGTGGCGAGATGCCCGTCCTTGTCCTTCACCTGCACGCCGGTCGCGACAACCTCGCCGTCGCGGACCTCTGTAGTGATCTTTTGCACCGTCGTCTCCATTAGGACCTTGAGATTTGGCCGCTTGGCCACCTCGTCGGTGTAATAGGCAGTGACGGCTGAGCTGCGGACGTTGGAGCCGCTCTCGATGGTGGACGAGTTCTGGAACGCGCCGTACGCCCTCCCCGAGCGCGGATCCGTCTTCATCTCGAGGCCCATGGCCGCAAAGGTCTTGAACCACCTCTCGTTCATGACCGAGTACTGGTCATCGAATGACAGCTGCACCGGCCCGTCGCCCTTCATCTCCTCGCCGTCCTGGTAGTACGCCAGTCCGCCCAGGGTCTGGCGGATGGCCTCGCTGGGCGGGTGGGACGTGGCGAACTTGCGGAAGTAGGGCGCGAGGTCGTCGTAAGACCACCCTTTGTTGCCCATCTTGCCCCACGTGTCCAAGTTGGTCCTGGAAGGGAACATGGCCATCATGAAGTTTGTCACGGAGCTCCCTCCTAGGACCTTGCCGGTATCCTGCCGCAGGTGGCGGCCATTCAACTCGGGCTACAATATTCTGTTAGCCCATCTTGAAAGTTGCGGCTTTTCCCCATTAGCATCTTCGTACCTGCGGTGTAGACTTAAAGGGCCAGATGAAGCGGTCGTCGGCATAGGCGCCGGCGACGAGGCCCGGAGTCTGGAGGGCAGGATCGTTCCTCTTGTCGGCTCCAGCCTCGATGACCAGGACGCGCACGTCGGCATCTTCACTCAGGCGGTGGGCTACCACCAGTCCCGACGTGCCGCCGCCGACGATGATATAGTCGAAACTTTCGTCCGCACTCATTTTGATCCCTCTCTGGTGGCTTTAGAAAAGAACTACCCTGTTCGGTGTTTTCCGACGACGAGAATCAAGATGCGACAGAAGAGCAAACAACGGTCAACCTGCAGAGCATGTGGTAGGAAGTGCAGGCACTGCATGATTTGAACTCATGGTCTGCAGGACATGTACAAATTGGAGTATTATGTGTACGAAACGATTAGTAATGACTTGTACGAGGTAAGCAGTGCACATCATTCATTGCAGTTGTACAGGTATGGATAATGAAATGGGCCGCATGGATGCATCTCTCCCCCTCTGACGCCCCATCGCAACTGGATGTAAGGAGTTACGGATGCTACAACGGTGATTAGTGTTATGGAAGCGTGTCGGCAGCTTACTGCACCTGCTGAAACATGGCAATGGGCCTGTTTTTGGCTTTTACCTCCGGCGCATCGATGATCGACAATCGCTGTGAGTAATGGGTTGCACAAGGTAGTTTTGTGAAACATTGCCAGTGGTAAGTATTTCAACTCTTGCTCACCTCATGCTTCGAATTGCGTTGGACTGTCCAGTCTTTAGTTAACAGGAGACGAGAGGTAGTTGGGGAGTCAGCATCGTCAGATTGACTACGATCAGTAAGAGAGAAGCTGACAGTAACAGTCACGAGTCGCGGCGTTTCCCGGCAGCCAAGGAAGTCATAATCACTGGCTCCATCCGATGGAGGCTGATCTTGTGTCAAGCACCGGAATCCGGACTACATCGACCGAGCACCCCTTTCTTCATAATCAGAAGGCTTACTTACTTCACTTATTAGATAGGGATCCTCTGTATCCTAACTTACCATGTTGCAATCCAGAAGATCCATGGAAACTGTCAAGTTCATGTGGAAGGAATATATAGCTAGATAGGGCAATTGCCCAGTCCGTCAGCTTTAATTCCAAATACTTATCTAAGGTTACTATCTAACCTCCCTATTCGTTTCAGTCACCCTCTAAATATAGCATAGTTGCTACTAGGTTAACCTAGAAGGTTACATGATCAATATGTTGGATACTTGACTTAAAAAGTGATTACTCGACCACTCTCGTTGTTGCCGTTTGACTCTTGCACGTCTTGGTCTAACAGCTAGAGCTGAGTAATTTTATGTCGTCGTTATATTCACACTACAACGCTGTTTCTGCCTCAAAAGCTATGGTTACCTAGATAGTTCTAGGTTAGCTATGATAGCTGCCTATGTACGAACTGAGCAGCACATATAACAGAACAAATCCCTCAAAATCTTCTTCCTTGCTTTCTCCAATTTGTTTGTTCTCATCTGGCCTTAATTTTTCACGATGTTGCTGTTGAATAAGTAGATAGCACTGATCAAGGCCGCCGGATTTAAGAGACTCTTAAGCACCGGTGCTAACGCAAAAAAGGTCCGGGAAGCTCCTATCAGGAGCCCAAACTCCGTTCCCGCCCGTATAGCAGCAGTTGCATCACCATACATTATTATCTAGAATTCAATTCTTTAAAGCCTTAAAAGCCTTGCTGCAGTTAAAATATGTTTAATTATCTAACTACTCCCTTTAGAGCTCAATCTGTTTTTGAACTTATAGCCCAGTTATCTAAACTTTGTTATTGCGTCATATTTTCTTGTATCTATCTCGTGTCATTTCTTGTACGGGATGCAGAAACGGAGCTTCTATCTATCTATCTAGTCCCTCTAAAATCTGCTAACCTTGGGCAATTTTTAGCTTAACTATTCTACAAGCTTTGCTTTGAGCGAATGAACGAACGTAAGAAACGGAATTCCAAAGCTCTCAAAAGCTTCAACTTGATAATAATATTTTCGTTGTTCGTTTGCTGTTCTCGCACGCAGTCCAGTCCAGCAGCAACAAAACGCCTCTCGATATAAAAACGAACGATTGAAACCTTTCTACCTTCCCCGAAACCCGCAGATCGAATTCGAGTCTGAGCCGAAAACTAAACTACTTTTGCGCGCGTAAATCGGGGGATCGAGGAAGAAAAGGGAGAAGAGAGGCAAGAGGAAGAAGAAGGCAGCACAATGATACGAATCTACCTACAAACATTCCGAATCCGACCGTTTCTCCAACAGTCAGCCAGGACCGCGGCCCGAAAAGATGCGCCGGAGATATGGTCCCTGCGACCAGCATTTTCATTTTCGTCCCAGGCGACCATTTCTTCACTACGACGGACAGCTAGACCGAAGCTCCCTTGCTCTTCCTCCTCCTCCTCCTCCAAACGGTCATTCCACAGATCCTCTCGGTTACGCAACAGCGAAAGAGAGAGACCCGAGCCGCACACCGGCAAGACGAGAAACGAGTCGGGCTCGCAGTCGCAGTCGGGGTCCCCCCTGAGCTTTTCCGCCCGGCTAAAGAAGCTCTCGAGAGAGTACGGCTGGTCGGCCGTGGGCGTCTACTTCGCCCTCAGCGTACTCGACTTCCCCTTCTGCTTCCTCCTCGTGCGCGTAGTCGGGACGGATAGGATAGGTGAGAGCGCTCTGCCCTCCCCCAAAATTTAAATTTTAAAAGATCATCTCCCCTTTACTTACTTACCGAGGGAAAAACAAACTAAACTAAACAATTACAGGCGCATTCGAGCACTTCGTC